GAGTTGCTGACCGGCTCCCGCAGGAACAGTGTAGGCCTCAGAGTTAGGGATTTCTCCCCCCACAGCTCTCTCCTCAATGTCCTCTCTATGCCCAGTGCCTCCTGGCACGGAGGGTCAGTACGACCCAGGAGGCAGGCTGGGCGGTGGACAAACTCTGCCTTCAGTTGCGCAAGTCTCCTCCGTGGGTACGCAGGCGCGCATACCAGTGGCGGTGGGGGGAGCTGGTCCCAGCCCTCAATTCAAAGGTCCTGCCTTCCTCCTCTTCTTCCTCATTTCTGGATGTTTGACATCCAAAGCTAGTTTGGAGGACATCTGCAGTTAAGTTAGCTACAAGCCTGGCCGAGCGGACGGCTTCCACAGGTTTTCAGAGGGAACTGCCTGTGAACCGGACTGAGCAGTTGTGTCCGTGCTCCTTATCGCTCAGCCTAGGCAGGCAAACATCTTCTTTCTCAAGGTCTGGCCTCTGCTTCCCACCAGGGATTTTTATGACTCTTCAGATCATAGAAATTTCCATTTCCAATACACCAATGGTATTGTCCTGTAACATGAATACAAGCATACCCTCACTCCCAGGTTTTTAGGGGTACTGGGCCTTCCCATTTTTGCATGTGTAAGTCTTCATACATTACTTTTGCCTGTCCCTCACTTTGTGGCCCTTTCCTTGCCTGATGATGATGTTCTATTGGGATCAACCCATGTTCTTCCCAATTTAGAAAATTTAATACATACAGTGCCTTATTTAAATGGTCCTGGTGGGTGTACCCTTCACTCCCCCTTTTTTGTTTTTCTAGTATAATTTTCAGAGAGCCATGAGCATGTAATCGCCATTTCCCGCTTTTCCTTTTGATGACAAATACAGGCGTGTTCCATGGGCTGGTGGATGGCCGGAGGTGGCCTTGACGTAGTTGGTCCAAGACAAGTTTGCGAAGGTGGCGCAGCTCCTCCACAGGGAGGGGGCCACTGATCCACCCACACTGGCTGGTCCATGAGCCAGGTGAGGGCGGGAGTCAGTTGCGCGTCAGTGGCCCCTAGGTAAAATGCAGTGTCACTCCCCATTGTCCAAGAACATCCTGGCCCAGAGGGTTACAGGAACGGGCAGGATATAGGGGTGTGGAGTTGCTACCCTCCCCTCCAGACCTCCAATCAAACTCGAGTGGGAGCGGACGCGCGGAGCTACCATGCCTCCCACTCCCATGACTTCCAGGGGCGTGGCTTGGGTCAGCCATGTTGGCGGCCAGTCTTTCTGTGTAATAATTGTTGCATCGCCCCTGCTGTCCATTAAACCAGTGATTGTGCACTTTTTCACATCAATATTAATGTCTTGCAATGCCTCATGGCTAACCGTTGCCCAAGGATTCTCGGTTCTTTCGCTTTTACTCTCCCTACCCGGCTTCAGGGGTGGTGACACCACAACCTCCTTCAATCCACCGTCCGGGGGGAGGGGAGGCTGTGTGTGGAGACCGGAGCTTGGAGAGGGGCAGATAAGTATACAATCATGGATAGCAGTCCTCTGGGTGCAAAGGTGGAGGTTTTGAATCGCTTAGGAGGAGTGGGAGTGGGTGAGCGGTTGCTTCTATCCCTGTTTCTGATGTACCCACATATTCTCGCAATGCCTCACATGCAATGTGCCATTAGCGCAATATTGATGATGCCATGAAGTCCCCTTGGGTAGCCCAGTCCCACAAAGCTGCACCGAATATGTTCCAAACCCCAGGATTGCATATTGTTACCGCACTTAAAGCGTTACAATTATCTAATCCCCATTTTAAAGGACGAATCAAATCCCCGGGTTGGATATCCTGACCCTTCCCAGACCTATCTAAAACATGCTACACAGCCTACAGCAACTTTTCCTACTCCTTCGTCATGGATCCTCCCATCGTCCTCGACAGCTAGGCTCCCACTTCCCAGTGCCGGAGTTTCCGAGGCTCGCACTCCCCAGTGGTTCAGAGCTTCGTTACCGTTTATCAGTTGTGGCCATGTAGATGTTGCCTCCTGTTGAACTTGCTTTATCACACCATATTCCTCGTTCCCCTATCTCGGTCCCTGTTTGGGTGCCATTTGTGGGAGCACTGATGGAGCAGGGGCTTAAGGTTTAGGACCAGAAGCCATTTTATTGAGCATTGGACCGACCAAGCTTATATATTCTCTGAGTATGTGAGCATGCACTGTTCATGCTCTCACTTCCCCCTGCCCCCAGCCAATTCCTCGACTCTATTGCTAGCTGGGTCCAATCCTGCTACCGATCAGCAGGTAACCAACCAGAGACCGGCGTGTCCAGTCTGTGTTTTAGGTTTCTCTGTCTGCTAATCTGTTATTCAGTATGTTCCTGACTTTCACAGTGTCTCACTCCTAACTTTCATGGTTTCCCACAGTATCCCACAGTTTCCCACAGTTTCCCACACATACGCGTGGGGAGTGTTTTGAGATTCCCATAGTTGGGGAACCTTTGTTTTCCTACGTACCCAAAAGCCATCGATCTCTACATTGGTGTTGTAAAATATATTCAATCTATGCTATGTGAAGTTGCGATCTTCCAAGTTGCAGGGTTGTAAATCCACGCTAAAGGTATATAATTAAAAATATAATTTATCATGGAAGAAATTTCTATACTTAATTGATTCTATTTTGCTTTTATCAGTACTCAAAATACTTTTTTGCGGTATGTTTTTGCAGATATCTGTCATATGTGGTTGTGTGTTACTTGAGTAGGAGGTGCAAATCCAAAACACTCCTTATGCCTTTAAATTTGCTGTCAGGCAAGGGTTGCTGCTGTGCATACAGTCCCAGGATTTGAACCTACAAAAGCTGGATTCTGGTTGGATCCCAGCTTCTCTTTCCAAGGCTTTATGGACTATAGTGAGGAGGCAGGTCCGGGGAGTCAGGTCAGCAGGACGGGAACAGGGACAGGTCAGCCCTCGAGAGGTACAGGGTCAGGCACAGGCTTGTCCACAGGCCCCATGACAGGGGCAGCAGCCCCTCAGCAAGGGGCAGGATTTCCTGCAGTGATGCTGGTCACTGTCTGTCTCCCCTGCTCTTGTGCCCAGG